GCACTTGTTAAAAGCGCAAGTTCCTAGACTATACTCTGAGAAATATTGTCCCAGGTGCTCATATTATTAACCTACAAACAGTATCTTTAAAATCCTATTCTTGACCTACTAGTATCACCTCTTAAGGATGATATAAATAATCCAGGAATCTGAATATGTTGAAATCCTTCAGCTCTACTCAGATCATTCATTTATTAGCAAATATTTATAGAGGGTACACTGTGTGTCTCATACTAAGAAGCACAATTACATATACATTTAGGATAAATAAGGAAAAATGAATCTAAATATTTTAAAAGTAGATCTTACTTGTTTCTTAGCAGCACGCTCAGCTTGCACCCGTCCGTATTCTTCCTGTGCTTTTTGATTTGATGTTTTCTTATTTTTCTTTGGAATAGTAACGGAGCTTTGTAAGACAAATTAAGACAAGTAAATCAGAGATTTAAAATGATATAACACAATTATGTCAAATATAGTATTTGTATAGTCAAATCTCACAAATGCAAATTAATAGAGAGGGAAGAGAGGGTGGAAGAAAGAAGGCATTAATCTTATTAGTAAAATGTCCAAATAACATATTAAAAACATAGTGACAGCTTTCAAGATATAACTAAAGAGTGGTAAGTGGATACTGTTAGAGAAATATTTCAACAAGCAAAATACAGAAATCTTTGAAAGATCCTAAGGTGTTAAAAAAAAAAACCCACAAAAAACAGGAAGCCAGCACATGAATGGCAGAAATGACAGACTGAAAAAGGCATTAAATTGAAGGACATTATGGAAGTTGCAGATGTACACGAACTTCAATCCCAAAGTCCTTTGAACAACTCATCTCATTACATCTACTCAGTCATGGTCACACCTTGGACCTAGTCCCCATTTAGAACGAGTCTATCTTGAAGCACTTCTCACCTCTGAAGGTGTCCCATTCTTTCTAAGCTAATCCAACCACTTAGGTTCCAATTCCATCCATTTCCTCAGGCTATCTGATTTAATAATAATCTTCTTGTTCCTTGTCTTTCAATTTTTCACAACAACAACTCCATAACCACAAGATAACACAATCCAGCAGCTCCCTTCTCAAGGTAAACAAATGCACAAAGTACTCATCAGCAGACTCTGTATCCTCTTCTAACGACCAGTCTCTCATTCCTTGTCCTTCCAGTCAGGTCCCTAGAAAGAATAGTGAACAGTCTACGATGGTCACTTCCCATTCACTCTTTAACTTGTCGCACTCTGACTTTTGCTCTCACCACTCCAATGAAGCTGCCCATGCCAAGACAGTGGTGGCCTTCTAGCCAAATACAATGTTCAAGTCAACGGGCACTTTTCAGCCTCATTTAATCGACCATTCACTACTTCTGAAAAGTCTACTCTCCTTGTTTGGGTGACATTCTTCTCTCTTGATCTTCTTTCTCTTCCTTGCTCCAGGTTTCCTCTCAGTGTTTCTCTTCTTGGTCTCCATACTCTTTAGGCAGTCGTATCTATTACCATGGCTTCAGATGCCACACATCGAAGGCTGAAAACTTAAGCTTATCGAAAATCTTCTCCCTAAAGTTGCCAATAATCGCCTAGACCACAAATCCAAAGACCTATTCTCAGTCCTTTTTCTCTTGGACTTTATAATATTTTATAATATTTTATAGTTGACCAATCCCTACTTTGCACAACTTTCTTCTGCTGACTTAGCTGTCACGAAGTATTCCTCTTTCTCTATTATGACAGTTCTATGTAACTTCTTCAATGGCAACTTTTTCCTGATTTCACCTGAAAATAACTAATCTTTAAGAATATAATTTTTACCTTTGTATCTTGCCCATGATTTAACCATTCTCATGATTAACAATTATCACAGGGATTGACTCAAATCTACATTTCTAGTACTAATCTTTTGCCAGAGCTTTACAACCCCTATCCAATAAGATGAACAAGCCAAAGGAAAAAATTGAATTTTTAGTATCTCTATCTTCATCCTCAGCTACACTTTTTCCTGGGGTCCAATTTCCTGTTACTTTTACCACAAATAGTTCACAACTTTAAAGAACAGAATTTTAGTGAAATAAAAAGTTATGCTCCCAAACAACAACTGGCTTCTCTGAAAGTTAGATTTCAGAATTTTTTTAACCTGAGGTATGTGCAGAGAAAACTTTATAAGTTAGCTTTTATAAAACCAAAGTTTCATGGAGCTGTGCCATTTGCTTCTTAATTGCAACCAAGTCTACATTCTCTAGAAAAAAACCCAGATTAATAATACCGTAATAACGCTAATAGAAGCAACAGCAGTGGTAGTTAACACTCATGTAGCCCGTCCCGTGTACCATACAACTCTTAAGAACCTTACACAAATGAACTCACTTAGTCTTCACATCATGAGACAGGTCGGGGATACCAAAGAGTCTGTGTGAATAATCCATTCTGGAGTTGTGCAACATGGCAGCTGTAAAGTACATACTTATTATCGTTTTTCTTTTAGAGAAGAGGACACTGAGCACCAACAAGTTACATACAGCTCCAGAGTCCATGATGTTAACCACTACACTCTAATACCTCTCAAAAATTAGTTGTCTGTTATACATATATTAAAGCAATAGTATATATTGGAGTATATGAGGAAGCCATTTGGTGTAAAACTAATTCGTCCTAATATTTTTTTCAAAAGGGCCTGATGTGACCTATTTAGCATGCATTGTACATCTACTTCAAATATTTACTATGTTCCAAAGACAAGAATGATGCCCTTAACGATAGAGATGTAACTTCTCCCATATCAGCATTTCTTTAAGGATAAGCATCTCGCCCTAAACTAAGGATTAATTAATGACCTGCTGTGCTCACCTTGTGACCACTCACCTTTTGACCACCAATCTGCTGTGTTCACCGACATGCTGTGCCAGCAAAGCAATCTCATGACTATTGTAAAAGGGACATTCTTATCTTATGTTATACATGCTCTTTGTTCCAAGATGGCACATAACCACTCTGTACATCCCACTTTTTGGTGCCCTTCCTTGGGGAAGGCATGCCCTGGGCTAGTCCTCAGATCTGGCTCACAATAAACTCACTCTAAATTTGATTTATAGATTGATTATGGATTATTTGCATCACTATTAATAAAAGGAGTTACCCACGGTCCGAGAAAGTTAAATGTACTTGAGAGGGTGAAATCCAAAACCCAGATCTCATTCCATTATTTCTTCCATTAAACTAAACTAGTCTAATTCAGTCACTTAAACTGAAAAGAAAGTCTCCATGAAAATATTTTCACATAATTACATTGTGACTTCTAAAATGCCTTAAATAAAAAAATTCCAATTCCCAGATAAATTGTCCTATAATCTTTTTCATAGAACACTACTTACATATAAAATAAAAGATTTCAAAAGAAAATAATACATACTTTACTCTTATGCTACACTGTTCTTCCAGCTGAGGTTGCTGAATACTACAATGTTCTTTAGACAAAGCCTGATCAATGCTACACTGTTCTTCTGGCAAAGGTTGATCAACTTGTTCTTCGGACAACGGCTGGTCAACTTGCTGCTCTGACAAAGGCTGGTCAACTTTTCTACGTTGCTTCCTGAGTCTTTCCTCTTCTGCTAAATAGAGATGTTTCAGATGATCAGGGTATCGATCTGTGAATTGGGATTCCTGTGAGGTTTGAGCCTTCTTTTCCTTCCACAGCAATTTCTGGTAATTTTGCTGAATCTTTAGTTTTCTTCGAAATGCAAAGCCTTGACCTATCGAAAAATATCAGTCATAAATTACTTTCTCAAAAAATAAGTTGCATGAAAAACGTAATTTAATTTAAAATGAAAATCTTTTTACATCATCACATTCAGATGGCAGAATTACATTATATTTGTTTTAAAAGGTTATTTCAAGAAAACAAGTTTAAGCTAATGAAATGAACAGTATGTTGGTCCTTTGCGAAAAGACCAGGCTAACATGAGTCATGCAAACACTCAAGTAAGAATCTCGAAGAAGGAAAAATGATTAGAGTGTTGTACAACTCCATTTATTGTACTCACAAATCAAAACAAATTCCTTGACTCACTTAAAACACTTAATCTAGGTCTTTAACAAATACTTAACAAAAAAATCCTCACATCTATTATTTAACCTAAGAGAAACTACTGTAAGACTGATTTTTGAAAGTAATTCAACACAGATAAGATGTACAACTTACTTAACAGCTAGCAATTAACAAAAGACTGAACTTATTTAAGATTTATACATTACAAACGGGATTTGAGGGAACTTACAGACAGCAAGATAAAATGAAAAACACAAACTAAAGCGAAGGAAAGGAAGAAAACTAAGATAAGACTGGAGGGCTCTGGGGTATTTGTAATCAGCAAGGGTTTGGGGCAGTGTATTTCTGGCCCAGTCCTTCCGTCTACTCTATACCGTACTATATACACAAACGGACCTTTAGAGGCTCTCTGCTTACGGTTTCGCGGGAAAAATGCAGAAGAATAAAGTTCTGAACAAGAATGGGGTTAAGTCAGGGAAGATGTTTAAAGATTCAGAGTTAGCAACAGTGCCTCGTCTTTCCCTCCAGAGCTCTGAGAAGCCCACGGCTCCAGCGGGATTGGCTTCCTCTGCCCCCAGGAGAAGCCAGTTTTGTTCCTAAACCCTTCTTCTCTGCTTCCCGGGTCGCGTATTCTAAGATTTCTCACATACCCTCGCGCACGCTCCCCACGAAGGCCTGTGGATGGCTAGGTCGCCACCTCCTCTGTTTCACATTCTTATTCCTTAGTCCGACCGGAGAAACTCCTTCACCACGCGGCCCCAAGCTCCCTGGCCGCCACCTTGCAGTCGGCCGCACAGGAGCCATCGCACACCAACTGCGTCGCCGGAAAACCACAACGGACGCTGCTAAAATACGTCATCAGGCAGAAGCAATCAATCGCTCACGTAAAGCCCAGATCGGAGTTCTACTTATCTGGCCTCTGCTACTTTCGACCAAGGCCTCGCCTTGCGGCCACGTTTGCGCCACCTACAGCCTGGGAGGGTGAGCGTCATGGCGGCTCCGTGCCCGCTCCCAGCGACCCAGGAGCTGTCCACGTTGCATGCCAAGTTGCAGGGGCTGCTGCGGTTCCTGAGGGAAGCCCTAGCCATTTCGAATGCGCATACGGTGGACTTCTACACGGAGTCCCTCTGGGAGCAACTGGTCGACCTGCCGCCGGAGACGGTACTGGCGGTGCTGAGGAGCTCGGCGGCCGAGACGGAGGCCCGGCCGTCGGAGGCGCGCCCCCTGGTGGAAGGCGAGAGGGAAGCAGGTGACTGGCGGCGGGCGGGGCGGGCAGGGAGGCGGAGAGCTGGCCCCGCCCAGCGAAGCGTGCCCCCTAGCGTGCTGGTGTGTTTCTACAATTTAAAGAGAACGAGGAACAGGGTCGGGCGTTTCTTAGTAATTCAACACTATTTTGAGGGAAGGCAAACAGTGCTCTCACAATGCTTATAGATTCCATGTAAAAACACAGCAGAAGATAAGTCAACACTTAACGAAATATATCAAGATAATTTCAAGTGATGATGATGGCCAAGAAGACAGCAGAACTGTGAAATGTGATAGCGATTCTGTGAGGAGGCTGGTTTGACTTCGGTGGGCAGGAGCAGGAGAAGGTGCCAGCCTGCCGTGAGCCACAGGAAGGGATTCAGCCCAGGGGACGGCGGAGGCCCTGAGGCACGAAAGAGCGGGGCTGGCTGAGGGTCGGGAAGAAAGCCTGAGCGGCCCCAGCGGGCGCGGGGCAGCAGCAGGTGCGGTCAGGGAGGCCGGCAGGGGCCGGATCGCGCAGGCTCCCTAGACCTTGGAAGAATGTTGGATTGTGTGTGTGATGGGGAAACCTTTGAGCCAGTTAATCGATGTAGTGATCTAATCTAACACTTGCAAAGGTAACTCTGATAAATTATTTGAAGAACAGACTAGTGGGGCAAAAGCTGAGAGGCCAGTTAGAAGGCCATTTCAGTAGTACAAGAAACAGATGACGGTGTCATGGACTAGGATGGTAGCAGTGAAGAACTGGGATATCCACTAATTAATTTGAAAACTGTTTATAATAAAGTATCTACTGTGTGCCACGAATTTTTGTAGGCTCTGGGGATTCTTGCCCTCAAGAAACTTGGATTCTATTAAGGAGAGTGTATTTTGGAAGTAGAAGGATGAGAGCACGGCAACAGGCTCCTGGGATTTGCTTGCAGGCGTTCTCAACCTTGCTCTTGCTAGTGAACTTTATTCACTGAGCATTCTCTGATGCAAAGCACCACTAGGGGGGCCTCCTATAGTAGGTCTTGGTAAATATTGGTTTCTTGAAAGTTGTTCACTGTTTATTGTGGAAAAGTTAGGCACCTCTTCAGTTTGCTCTCATGATACCTAATACTTATGATAACACAGGGACAGAAACTCCAGACAACCCGAGGCCACGTCTGTCCTGTAAACTGACGTATTCCCAGCACCTAGTAAAATATCTGGCATGCATTAAATGCTCAGTGAATATTTGTTGAATGAATGAATTAATGAATGACTCAGGGTAGCTTCCAAAAAAAGAAAAGAAACCACAATTAAATAATCCAGACTATATTGTTCCCTTTTGAAATGTCTTTGGCCCTGCAAACATTTTTATACAAAATATTTAGTTGTACAAATGGTCAGCTGCCAATAGGATTAAAAAGTGAATTTTTATAATTTATGCTTGTGAGGAATATTAATTTTTGTTTATGTAAAGATGGGCATTGTCTCCATCACTGTCTGAGGTGTATTGTTTGTGTCAGAGAAGAGCATTTTGCTCTTTGATCAGATTTGTATCTTATTAAACAATTGTTAGCTGCTATGTACAGTATAATCTAGTGTTTAAATTTTTAGACTTTTGAGTCAAATAGGGTTCAAATTCCAGTTCTGCCACTTACTAGCTCTGTGACCTTGGGGAAGTTTATTCATTCGTTCATTCAGCAAACATTTACTGAGTGTCTACCATGCCTGGCACTTTTCTTGGAGCTAGGGAAACGGCAGTAAATAAAACCAACAAAAACCCCTGCCTTCATCTTGCTTGCATTCTAGAGGGAAGAGAGACAATGTTTTAAAAAGTGCCACAGAAAAATACAGTAGAAAAGGGAGGAGCAGATAAGGGAAATGCAGGAAGAAAGTATATTTGCAGTTTTCAAAAGGTTGTTCCAGCAAGACTTCATGGAGATGACTCTGGAAAAACCCTAAATAAGGAGAAAAATAAGTCATGAAGCTATCAGGAGGGAGAGCATTGCAGATAGTGAGAACTGGGAGGGCAGGGCCCTGAAGTGGGAGCACGCACAGTGTGCTTAGGGAGCAGCAAGGAGACTGGAACAGACTTCCATCAGGGACTCACAAGAAGGATGTTTTTTTGCTGGTTCTTGGTGAGGAGATACAAACGAATTCCCAGAGCTGCACTGAGTTAGTGCACACTGTGTGAAAGTACAGTAGCAGATGTTTGGCACAATCATTTGGTGTATTAGGAAACCAAGTTGTTTCTGAAAGTCCTTGGTGTAGCCATTTTGGCAGATTTATCTTGCTAGGTGATCTTATGGCTTGATCGGAGTTTTGAAAGTTTATTCTTCTCTGTTTATCTAAAAAGAGCTAGAGAAAAAAATCTTGATTTCCAAAATAAAAATGAAGATGTATTCCATGGCATAAATCATGGGTATTATGGATTGATTTGTGTCTCCCCCCCCCCCAAATTTGTTTGTTGAAGTCTTAACCTCCAGTGTGACTGTATTTGGAGATAGGACCCTGAAGGAGATAATTAAGGTTAAATGAGGTCATAAAGGTGGAGCCCTAATCCTATAGGAAGAGGAAGAGACACCAGGAGGGTGCACACAGGAAAACTGTGTGAGGACACAGTGAGAAGACAGCCATCCGCAAGCCAGGGAGAGAGGTTTCCCCAGGAACCAACTCTGCCAGCTCCTTGATCTTGGACTCCCAGCTTCCAGAACTGCGAGAGAATAAATTTCTATTTAAGCCACCCAGTCTGAGGTATTGTGTCATGGCAGCCTGAGTGGACTAATGCAGTGGGCTTTGCACACAGACTGGTTCAAGTCCTGGCTCCACCACGTATTAGCTTCATTAACTTGGGCTTCAAAGCTTTGTGCCTCAGTTCCTCATCTGTAAAATGGGGATAATCATAGTACCTACCTGATGAGATACTATGAAAGATAGATGAGTTAATATGGATGGGGTTAAGAATAATGCCTAACAAATAGCAGCACTAAATGCATCCGTTCAACTAATGTTTGTTGAGTACCTTCTACCTACCAGGCCCTATTCTAGGTCTTACAGTTATAATATTGAACACAACAAAATCCCTGCCCACGTGGAGCTTAAGATTTAGTGAGGGTAGATACATAGTACACCGTATATGTATGTATGTATGTGTACGTGTGTGTGTGTGTATGTGTGTGTATGAATGATACGAATGATTTCAGGTGGCAGTAATACAATGAAGAAAAGCAGCGGTGGGGAGGTGAACATGATTGTGTGGTGGAGAGAAACGCTGTTTTAGGTGGGGTGATCAGGGAAGTCGTCTCTAACAAGACAAAATCTGAACAGAGACTCGAAGAAAGTGAGGGAGCCAGTCATGCAGCTAACCGAGGGAAGAGCAGGTGCCCAAGCTGGGGCACGCTGGGTGTGTCGGAAGCACAGCAGAGTGGTCGAGGTGAGACTCGTAAGAGATGATAAGAGGGAAGGTTTGAGAGATGGCCTGCGGCAACTTCATGTAGGACTTGTAGGCCTGTTGAGGGCCTGGCTTTTGCTGTGAGTGAAGTGGAAAGTTCATCAGGAATTTTATGTGGGGATATGATATGTGATTTATGTTTCAAAGGGATGACTGGCTTCTGGGCAGAGAAGAGGCTGTCGTTGGGAGGTAAATGCAGAAGCAGAAGACAGGAGGCTAATAAAATAGTCCAGGGAGACTTCAGGTGATGGCAGCTTGAAGGGGTCAGGCAGTTCCTCCAGCAGACAACAGTGATGAACATTGGCCAGATTATTAAAAGCAACCGCTGGAAGCTTCTGGAAGATGACCAAAGGTAGGTGAGAAGAGTTGGCTATAGAAAGATTCTATTGCTCCAGTAAGAATTGAGAGTTAATGGCTTTCTTGCTGGGGGTGCTCCAAGCCCCCTTAGATCTGGCAGTGGAAATCTACATCCTAACCAGCTCAAAGTGGCGATGACAAAGTTCAGAGATCAGAGCAGATGAGAATTTAAGGAGTACATTCTGGCAGTAGGAGAGTCACACAAGGGCTGAGATCTAAGATCTGAGCATAAACTCTGCCTGAATCCCTGGATGACCTCTATACTGCACATGCGTGAGAGACCCAGCGTGTCTGCAGAAACACTGGCAAAACTAGGGCAATGGCAAACCCTGGAAAGACAGAGCTCCTGATGAGCTTTGCAAATTTCCTGTGCCTTTGAAGAGTCTGTTCCCCGGAGTGCACACGGCTTGGGGGGCAAAAATCAGAAGTCTGATTGGATTCATGTATCTAAGGGCAGAACTCAGGGCTGTCAGAGAAGTGGAACTTTAGGCTTGGGAGCGTCGGAAACATCTGTGATGTCTCACAGAGAGTGTGAATCCCACAATCTGATTATAAAATCTACCCAAATCTTTGACTGCTAAACTACACAGGTTTAAGGGTACCCTCAGGGAGCAGGCTAGTAAATCAGCGACTGAGCAGAGACATCAGCTGCTGTACACTGAGCTGGAGATAGATTTCACAGTTTGACGCCAGGCAAGTTAATTTCTTAGTAGAACAATAACAACAGCAGTAAAATCCTTAGAAAAACAAAAGATTCATTACAACAAATTATTTGCAATTCTGCTTTTTAACCCAAAACTACTAGATGTGCAAAGAAACAGGAAAGTGTGACCTATACTCAGGAAACTGGTTCCAAGTGAGCCCTGATGCTGGATTGAAGGATTATGTTCAAAGAATTAAAGGAAAATGTGACCAGGGAGAGAAGATGAGTTAACTAACAGGAGCTGATCCCGATTGGGCTCCGATGTTGGATTTAAATGGTTATTATAAATATGTTCAAAGAACTAAAAGAAAATGTACTCTAAGAATTAAAGGAGAAATACAATATTAATCAATATTTAATTATATGACCTACCTTAAAATTCTTTTAACTGGAAAAGCACACACTCATTGACACACAATTATCTGAATGTTATGTATTATCTATTGCTGCATAACAAGTGACTTAAAACTACACGGTCTCATACAATTTCTGTCAGTCAGGAATTCAGGAGCAGATTAACTGA